GAGTCCCGCATCGGGCTCCCTGCTCCTTGGGAGCCTGCTTCTCCCTCTGCTTCTCTCTCTCTCTGTCTCTCATGAATAAATAAAATCTTAAAAAAAAAAAAATGTTAAAAATTAATAATGGGGAAAAATCAACAATGGGGAATCACAAAATATTTTAAGGGCAGTGTAGGAGGTTGGCTGAAAAAGATAACATGCTCAGAATTCACAATACAGAGAGATATGCAAGTTGACTAGGAAAGCGAGGAGTACCATAGTCAAGGAAAATACAGTTCAGGCGGGAAAGACGCAGCAATTAATTGAAAGCAGTAGTGATAAGAATGGAGAGTAAAGAATGGCTGAGAGAGAAGAGGGTAGTCTTGACAATACTCAGAAGTTGGGGAAAATCCCCCAATTTCCCATTTGGGCAAATAGGTGGGTCAAGAGGTCATTAGTCAAAATGGAGACAACAAAAATGAAAAAGTTTCTGAGAAGACAATCTGGGCTCAATCTGGATTTTATGTGAACAAAGCCGTCTATTAGGAAGACTGGAGCCAGGTGAAAGCAGAATTAACTCCAATGGAAGAAATGAACATAAAGGTAGAAATGGAAGACGAGGCAAAGGTAATGTCACCCAGAAGAAGTACACAGATTGAAGATGGGGTTACGAGTATCTATTATTGCTGCTCATGAAGATCTCGCTCTCTGCCTTTCACTTGTTTTCCAATTGGACAAGCTGAATTTTATGTAAGTGAGATGTTACAGTTTTCATACTTCTTTAAAAGCATGAAAATCTTCCCATACAAGTCTACTGAATGTAGATGCTTAAGTTTCCTGAGCATTGTGTCCAACTTCTTCATTATCGGGCTAGGCCTAGCAGAGTGCTTGGGACCTGAAAGGTGCCCAATAAAAATGAATGAACTAACCAAGTGTGGTCTTTAGGTCAGTCAAGAAGCCAAACTGTTTCAGATATTGTTTTAATGTTACAGATGAACATTTAATATGGATTAACCTAAAATTTTCTTTATATGCTGTTTTTTCCATTTAGAAACATACACTTTTCAATGACTTGGGGACTCTGAACTTATTTTTCAGAGTTAAGAACTCACCTAAAACCAGGAATTTATGCCTATCCTTATTTCAGATTTCTGTATAGAAGTCAAAAGCAGGTAGAAAAGTAAGATTATTGATTTTTTTTTTTTTTTTTTTAAGATTTTATTTGACAGAGAGAAAGCACAAGCAGGGGAAGTGGGAGAGGCAGAAGCAGGCTCCGGGAGCCTGATGCAGGGCTTGATCTCAGGACCCTGATATCATGACCTGAGCCAAAGGCAGATGCTTAACTGACTGAGCCACCCAGGTGCCCCAGATTATTTATTTTTTAAAATGTTAGTTTTAAAAAGGGAAAACACTAAAATACTTCACCTACAGGTCCATTCTTATATATTAACAATGTGCGAGATCTTCATAGGAGTACTGAGGAGAGTATTTTAAAGACTCACTGCTTAGAAGGAAAATTAGATGAGTCCAAACGTTCCTTTATGTACTTTGTTTACATACTTTTACTTAGATAAATGCACATTACATAAACTCAGTATCATAATGAGTGTTCATAAATTGGTGGATGAAAAAGATGAGTCAATGAGTAAGCAGGGAAGATGGCTGCTGAGCAGAAGAAACTATGTTATAAGCACTTGAGAGTGTGAATAGCACTATAAGGGAACTTAGTAAACCTTGGAGTGCTGGTTTTTGGTGGTTTTGGGTTTTTTGCGTACTTCTAACAAAACAAAAGATATTTTAAGAGATTCAAGTTACTCAATAAAACTAAGGAAAAAGCTCATTGTTCATAGGATTACATTACAGTCAAACTTTTCAGATAAACCAGTTCTTAATACTTCCTTCTGCTTTTCTTTGAATGTCTAGCCTCCCTCTCATGCATGTCTCTTTTGATGAGAATAGGCAGTAGGGTAGTAATAGGGAAAGAACAAATCAAACTGAACATAACAACCTGATTTTAAAACTTAAAAAAAAAAAAATTGGGGAATGTCCTACTAGAATCTTGGTATCATATGCTTTCACAATTACAGTTTATATTGGGAGAGACTGAATGGAGCAGTTAAAGAGCCTGAGTTTTGGAGTCAGCAGTTCAGTTCTGGCTTCATTATTTGTTCTCTCTGTAACTCTGGATTTTTGTTTTAAGTACCCTCCATCTCAGTACTCCTATCTGTAAAATGGGACGAATAAAAGGACTTCACAAGACTCACAAGGATGATATAAAACAATGTACCAGGAAGACACCACATAAATGGTGTTGTTTTTGTAGCTGTAAGCTCCATTAGTACTTACCAACTTTTCATATTTCAGGTATATCAAATAACCTAGGTCTGCCATAACAGAAACACAAAAGCCCACTCACTTCCAGAGTACTGCAGTGTCCCACCACTGGGAAGTGTACCATGGATTGAAGTGTCCCAGTAATTTCTTCCTTTCAATCTTAGATCGAAACATCCAATAAGTCAGGTTTCAGACTGCCACTAGCTGAGAAGGCAGCGAATGGTGTCCTACGAATCCATTGCAAATAACAACAAAACACATATTCTGCATGCAAAAAGTCCAAATTGTAATGGGATTACATAATCCTGCAAGTTTTAAGAAACTCTGCTTCTGCTTAGTTGCTTCCTAACATAGATCGCTGAAGCAAAAACAGCATACCAGCGGTCATATCCTCTGAAGAACTAAAATTTAGATCCAGTTCTCACACTTTTAGAAGGTGAGCAAGATGCCCTCCATGGTTATGTCATAAAGTTATATTTTTTAGAAGCAACATGCCCTCCATGGTTATGTCATAAGGTTATACTTTTGTTTTGGAAAATTTGTTTTTACATTACCATCATATTATAATCGCAGGTCAGTTCTCTCATAATTACAAAAGGCACAGTTTTAGGGTCAGGAGGCAGGTCAGCTTGGGATTTTAAGCTTACCATTCCACCACAATGAAGATTCAACTTTGTATTTTGAGTTTAGGTTTGAGATTAGCTTTCTTCATCACAATTTTACCCCTAAACATATTGTGACTACACTGCATACTATTTATGACTCGTTTGAGTATTTCCGATGGGATCAAGGATAAACATGGAGTAACTAAAGTCACCATGCTTGTTTGAAAACTATTGATATCTTAAACATTGCCAGGTGCTGACTGACCACCTTACCACTTGAAGCAAATACGTATTTGTTGTAGTGTGGGAGAGGAAAAAGGCCACACCCAAAGTTAAGACTTCACAGTGAAGTGATACCGAGTTTCACAATTTTAACCATTGCTATTTTCGGTACTCTTTTTCACGGTCAATGAATACTTTAAATTCTCAAGAGGCTCAAAGTTCAAGAAAACGTTCCTCTGATTCTAATCACTTAGGTTACTTCATTCAGCAACCGGCAGGTCTAAGATGGAGAATTACCCCATTCAAAGAAAGATTTAAGTTACTCCGGCACAGAAGAGGGCCAAACTCAAACGACCAGTGCTCAGAAGTGACTCTAAAAGACGGTTACCACTCCTCCCCTCCCCCAGGGAGCAGGCAGACAAGAAGAGCCTGACTGTATCACACCAACCAGTTACCTGACAGAACGCGGCCGTGTTATCCGGACCCCTCCTTCAGTTCAGACGCTCCTAGACCCCCTTCTCTCCTTGGTGCCACCTCCATCCAGGCTGTCTCTCCTCCCCCCCCCCCACCCCCGCCAGCCCAGCTCCCAGCAGCTTCCTCAGCCTCATCTGCAACCCACCTCCGTGCTCTCGCGCACTCCACTCGTCGCCGCTTACCTTGGCCACATAGTCTTTCACCTCATCCAAGTCTCCGTTTTTCAGGGCCCACATGAACTCCTTGTCGCACATCACTGCAGCGGGGCGGGCCGCTCGGCCGGGCAGAAGACGAGGAGGCGGTGGTAGCAGCAAGCGGATACCGCGGGGCGAGAGGGAGACAGGGCCGCGCGGAGCTGGAGAGGGGAAGAGAAGGCGGTGGAAGGCTGCCAGGCGGGCGAGGCAGTTGGCCGCGGCGACCGTTGGGGCGGGAGAAAGAAAGTTCTTTTGCGGCCACCGGGCCCAGCAGAGCAGGTTCCGCCTGGCCGACGAGAAGCAGGAGCGTTTGCACTTCCGGTTCACTCCCAGCTAGGATCCTCCCCCAACTTCCTCTTCCTCTTCCCCTGGGCGGAACGCCCTGCTCAGGACCCCGCCCTGACGGCCCGCGGCGGAGCGCTCCACGTGCGCAGGCGCAGTGGCTAGGCAGGCTGGAGAACGGGGTCCACGGGGAGTGGGCGGGACTGAGAGGCCAGTGAAGCGAGTCCGCGGGCCGCAAGCGCGGGTGGTGGGGTCCCAGTTAGGCTATTTCGGATAGAACCAGGATGTTTTTGCACGGCACACACGTGGGAAAAACTTTTAAAAACACAACCTTGGAGGTCATCTTGCTCACCTTCTAAGTGTCCAGTAGGAATGGTCGATTTGAATTCCTTTCTCTTTTCGTTCCCTCCTTTCCTCTTTCTTTTACCTTTTTCCATCCCTCCCTCCCTCTTTCCTCCCTTTTTTGCTCCTTCTCTTTCTTCTTCCCTTGGGCTCCTACTCCATGCTAGACTCTGCTGGCCACTGAGGATATAGTTAAAAAGATGGAATAAAATAATGCCTGCCGTCAAAGACCTCTTCAATACTTCAGATAACCATGTGAATTCAGTGTAATAACTACGTACAGTGTTGTTTGGAGGGAAAAATTTCAGTGTGTGGTGGGGGAAAATTTTTACTCATCTCCCAGGCTAGCAAATTATGTCCAGGACTAGAAATTCAGCTTGATGCCATAGGGTAGAGCAAACCCAACTGTCCCGTACAATTTGCGTGTTTTTTGTTTGTTTGTTTTTTGTTTTGTTTTTTAATTTTCTGTTTGTTCGTTTGTTTCCAATGGGTTGAAGCTTCGGAGCCATTCTTGTGAAACCAGTTTTACTCTGCCTAGAGTTTGGGTGTAATATACCTCGGGGCACAGCCTCCAGCTGAATTGTGCCCCAACCCTAATGACCCAGACACGCACACATGAACATAGATCCAATAAAAACTTACTGGAACTATTTTTTTTTTAAAGATTTTATTTATTTATTTGGGAGAGCGAGTGAGCGAGCACAAGCGGGGGGCAGGGGGGTAGAGGGACGGAGTGAGAAGGAGAAGCAGACTTCCTGCTGAGCAGGGAGCCCAAAAGTGGGGCTTGATCCTGGAACTCCGGGATCATGTCCTGAGCTGAAGGCAGATGCTTAACTGACTGAGCCACCTAGGCACCCCAAAAGCAAAACCTTTTATATGCATCTCAAAACCGTGGTTTGGGGGGGGATATTTACTAGATCCAGTACTTCCTGCAGGTCTCTACTACACATTAGGTTCATCTGAATAATAAACATTCAGACTGGGACAGCATTCTTTATAATATTTCCAAATGAAATGGTCATTTGACTCTTGCAGAGAACTCTTTTTTAGGACTTTTTTCAGGTGAAAATACACAAGTAATTTGCCTCCTTTGATCTCCAAGATACCTACATGTTGCTGCAACTGAGTTCTACTGTACTGTCACAAGAAACCAGTGTCCTCAAAAGCTACTTAACAAAGAGTAGACTAAATTAGCATACGTGTGACCATTTTGTAGCACAGCATGTAAGTTAATACTGGACACCTGACTGACAGCAGAATGCAGTAAAACTATTAAATTTAACAAATTCTATATAGTTGAGTCAATGTGCCCAGTAATTCAGTTACAGCTAAGTACTACCTTTCCCCACTCAGAGTTCAGAATTTCCTTAAGACTGTGGAATGTAGTATTTGGATAATGACAGAACCTTTTGAGAACTGGATAAATGCTATGGCCTCTCCTTTCCTACAACTGTCCCTCTGTCCTCTCTCCCCTGCCCCTCGAGGTTACAAGTCCTTGCCTCAGGATACAATTTTGCCAAGAATTACATAATACTGCACTAGTGATATTAGTGGATAAAAAGTACCAGAGTTATAAATTACATAGCAGTGGATTCAAATGTCTATTTGCCACTGGGGAGCAAAGAAAACAAAAAAGATGATAATACAGGTAGATGGCACAAGAAAAAGGTAGAAAGTCTGAGAAATATTTCATCAACTTGCTCTTAATTCTACATATTTTCTACAAAGTTATCAGGAAAGGTCTGTCACACCAAATGCATCAAACTTTCAATATTATAAAAATGAACTCATTTCAAAGTAATGAACAGGAATAATACCCATAAGCATTCCTTTAATGAGCACCTACTTAGTTAATCAATAACGATGCATCCACAGAAAACATTTTAAATTGTTTTGAAGAATAATTTCTTATTATTAGTTAAAATCCTTCCTACACTGATCCTGACCAAAGTAATCACCTTCTAAAATCTACCAGGGTCAGTCACCCCAGACACGTTCCCAACTGTGGGTTATCTTCACTGACAAAAATTACTATAAATGGTAGTAATTTTAACATATTTCAATGGTTAATGATGCCTGAGAATCTGGCAAAAAATTTTTTTTGAAAAAAGAAATTGTTCACAGTAAAAAAACATATACCTTGTTTAAAAATGAGAACTACAAGATAAAACAAAGTTCTGTGTTTTTAACATAGTTATGCAAATAACTATGTTTTTCTGTCTCCAGGATTCTAAACTTAGGACTACTCAAGGTTCTGGAAGTATATATTCAAATAATAGTTCATTTTCATTAATTTACTTACCAGTATCACAAAGAACTAATGAAAATCAAAACGTGAACTAGAAAAAATTTTAAGTGCAAACATAATGCTTAACTGTTCATAAGTATTTTTAACTAATAAAAGTGTTAAGTATCTCCCTTTTTTACTAACAAAAAAGTTTTTAAATGAAAGCCCATGAAAGTTAAGAGCTCAAATCTTACGGTATATTCCCTCATCTACACACTACACAGAACTTTTAACCTAAGTTGTTTTTTTTTTTCTAGATGACTACTTCTGTCACTTAAATGATTTTTATATAGCTAATTTACTTATTAAAAACTCACTTTATTTTTCTTCTTTGGAAGGTTTTAAAGCAATCAGTCACACTTAGAAATTTTCAGATGGAAATAGTGAAGTATTAGAATTTTTACTGGTGGTATAAAATTAAAATTTTAATTTAACAGAATGCATGCATTTATATGAAGAAAGACTATCAAAATTAAAAAAATCCATTCAAAACATTATGGTAGTATCTCAATTTGGAAAACTTCATATGATCAAAAATTAGCTTCATTTTCAAGAAACTAATTCATGGCTCCACAGCTGGAATTTATTCCTAAAATCTTATGTAGCCTGGGAAATGTCTTGTGTCTGGATCCAAAGGTTTACATTCCTAAAGTTTGTATCTGTAAATAAACCCATGACAGGATGGGAGAGGGAAAAGGGAAGGAAAGGAGGGGGCAAGAGAGAAGACAGACAGAAGGGAAAGAGTAATTCAATTCCTAAAATTTTAAAGATTTTATTTGACAGAGAGAGACGGAACACAAGCAGGGCGAGTGGGAGAGGGAGAAGCAGGCTTCCCACTGAGCAGGGAGCCCGATGCGGGGCTCGATCCCAACACTCTGGGATCATGACCTGAGCCGAAGGCAGATGCTTAACGACTGAGCCACTCAGGTGCCCCAATTCCTACAATTTTAAATGTGATCTCTGCAGAAATCTATTCAGTGGGGAAGGGGGTGTATATATTAAGATTGTTTTTCTATCACCATCACAAAATAGTGACAACTTGAATATATGCTTTATTCCTGACAGACCTGCTTGTTTCACTATTATCCAGTACTATCACAGAAAATAATCTAAAGGTAAGATGATTTAACCTCTTAAAATTCATGTTATTATTTTGCCTATAAGCATACAGACTAAAAAAAAAAAAATCTTCATAATCATTTTAGTCAGGATGTGTTATGCTCCTCATTTAAGTTTCCTGATTTTGAATAAAATGTGGGGACCCTCTATTTCCAATTTTGTGAAAACTTGTATTTCTATTTATCAGTTCAAACTTGTATGTTCTTCCCTATCTTTTGCTGGTTTAATCTCAATGCTTTACATATCATAATAATCTTCAGTTTTTTCCATGTATGTATTTCATTTGTAGCTCTGAAAAATTTCAGTGCAAATGATGGAAAAGAATACTCTTTTGGAATGAGTCAGATCAAATCTTATCCTTCCACTTACTAGCTGTAGGATTTCAGGCAAGTTACTTAATTTTCATCTCTACCTAAAAAATGGAGATAAAGCCTACCTGGGTACACAGAGATTAAATTATATGCATATCTACATGCATATTAACTTATTCTGTAGGACCATACCTAACATAGAGTAAGCCCTCAAAGAGAAGGCATTCTGTTCCCATTATCTTCCATTTTGAATTTGATGTTCAATAGCGCTGATTCTTCTCTATACTGTAACCAAATATAACTTTTTCTTAGCTCTTATAGCAGTCTATTATTTCTACAGAAATTGTATGATTCCTTAACATATTTGTATGTTTGCTTTCTAAGTTTTATTCATGTCATGTTTTAAATAAGAAAATAATTTATCCAGAACCCATGCAACTATCTTATTTATTGTTTGTCCTGTACACCCTATAACTGAACCTACTAAAGAAAATGGATCGTCAGAAATATTCATTATTGTATTCCTATGCTTACTGAATACAGCGGCTGGTATTATAGGCGCTCAAATGATATCTGCTGAATGAATTATGAATGAACCAATGAGAACTGTAATAACTAGCCTTCTCTTTCACTTCCACAGTTTGGAAATCAAACAAGGTCTTAGGACTGGCATTGGAGCTGGAGAGAGAATTCTGGGAGCGTTTTTGGTGAAGGATGACCTTTGACAGCCATAAAGATTTTTTAGAATTCCCTTTCAGTTTAATGATCTAAATTAGTTCTTGTTTTCATGTATACAGGTAATGATTCCTAATTTTCAGAATAATTCTAGGCCTCTTGCCTAAGGAGCAAATTTACTATAGAGACTCTTTTTTTTTTTTTAAGATTTTATTTATCTATTTGACAGAGAGAGAGAAGCAGGCTCCTCGCTGAGCAGGGAGCCGATGTAGGGCTCGATCCCAGGACCCTGGGATCACTGAGCCAAAGGCAGATGCTAAAATGACTG